ATCATAGAGGATTGGAACGGAAAAGTAGGAAATCAAAAGATACCCAGAGTAACAGGCAAGTTTGGCCTTGGAGTACAAAATGAAGCAGGCAAGGGCTAACATGGTTATGACAGGAGGACAAGTTGGTCACAGCAAACTCTTTTCCAACCATACAAGAGACAACTCTACACATGGACATCACCAGATGGTCAATACTGAAATCAGACTGATTATGTCAATACTGAAATCAGACTGTGGCTCAGATTATGAGCTCCATACTGCAAAATTTAGGCTTAAATCAAAGGAAGTAGAGAAAACCACAAGGCCATTCAAGTATGACCTAAATCGAATCCCTTATGATTATACAGTGATGGTGAAGAATAGAGTCAAGGGATTAGATCTGGTAGACAGTGCCTGAAGAACTAAGGATGGAGGTTCATAACACTGAACAGGAGGCAGTGACCAAAACCATCCCCATGTAAAAGAAATGGAAGAAGGCAAAGTGGTTGTTGAGGAGGCTTTACATATAACTGAGGAAAGAAGAGAAGCAAAAAGCAAGGGAGAAAGGAAAAGATGCACCCAACTGGATTCAGAGTTCCAGAGAATAGAAAGGAGAGATAAGAAGGCCTTCTTAAATGAACAGTATAAAGATATAGAGGAAAATAATAGAACAGGAAAGATTAGCGATCTCTTCAATAAAATTGGAGATACTAAGGGAATATTTCATCCAAAGATAGGCAAAATAAAGGACAGATACAGTAGAATCTAATATAAGCAGAAGATATTAAGAAGAGGTGGCAAGAAAACAGAAGAACTATGCAGGAAAGGTTTGGATAATTAATGACCTGGTTGATTACAATGGTGTGGTTACTCACCTACAGCCGGACATCCTGGAGTGTCGTATCAAGTGGGCCTAAGGAAGCAGCACTACGAACAAAGCTAATGGAGGTGATGAAATTCCTGCCTAGTTATTTCAAATCCTAAAAGTTAGTGCTGTTAAAATTCTGCACTCAATGTATCAGCAAATTTGGAAAACTCAGCAGTGGCCACAGGATTGGAAAAGGTCAATTTTCATTCCAATCCCAAAGAAGGGCAATGCCAAAGAATGTTCAAAGTACCGTACATCTCATTTATTTCACATGCTTGCAAGATTGCATGCAAAATCCTTCAAATTAGGTTTCAGCAGTATGTGAACTGAGAAATTCCAGAATTAGAAGCTGGATTTAGAAAAGCAGAGGAACCAGAGATCAAATTGCCAACATTCACTGGATCATAGAGAAAGCAAAGGAATTCTGGAAAAAACATCTCTACTTCTGCTTCACTGACTATGAGAAAGCCTTTTGACTGTGTAGATCACAAGAAACTGGAAAATCCTTAAAGGGACAAGAGTATCAGGCCACCTTACCTGTCTTCTAAGAACCCTGTATGCAGGTCAAGAAGCAACAGTTAGAACTAGACATGGAACTAATGACTGGTTCAAAATTGGTAAAGGAGTATAACAAGGCTCTATATTGTCACCCTGCTCATTTAACTTATATGCAGAGTACATCATGCTAAATGCTGGGCTGGATAAATCACATGCTGGAATCGAGATTGCCAGGAGAAATATCTACAGTCTCAGATATGTAGATGATAACCACTCTAGAGGCAGAAAGTGAAGAGGAACTAAAGAGCCTCTTGATGAGGATGAAAGAGGAGAAAGAAAAAGCTGGCTTGAAACTCAACATTAAAAAAAAAAGATCATGCCATCTAGACTTCTCAATTCATGGCAAAATAGATGGGGGAAAAGTGGAAGCTGTGACGGATACTCTTTTCCTAGGCTCTAAATTCACTGTAGACGTTGACTGCAGCTATGAAATAAAAAGATGCTTGCTCCTTGGAAAAAAGCTATGGCAAACCTAGACAGCTTATTAAAAAAGAGGGAACATCACTTTGCTGACAAAATCCATATAGTCAAAGCTATGTTTTTTCCTGTAGTCATGTATGGATGTGAAACTTGGATCATAAAGAAGGCTGAACACCAAAGAACCATTGCTTTCAAATTGTGGTTCTGGAGAAGACTTTGGGGAGTTCCATGGACTACAGAGAGATCAGACCAGTCAATCCTAAAGAAAATCAGCCATGAATATTCATTTGAAGGGCTGTTGCTGAAGCTGAAGCTCCAATACTTTGGCCACCTGATACAAAAAAGCAACTCACTGGAAAAGACCCTGATGCTGGGAAAGATTGAAGGCAAAAATCATGGGGGCAACAGAGGTTGAGATGGTTAGATATCACTGTAGACTCAATGGATATGAATTTGAGCAAACTCCAGGAGACAGTGGAGAACAGAACAGCCTGTCCTGCTGCAGTCCTTGGGTCAGAAGGAGTTGACACCACTTACTGACTGAACAACAACGTACATGAGTGTGTGTGCTAAGTTGTTTCACTTGTCTGACTCTTTACGACCCTGTGGATCATAGCCTGCCAGGCTCATCTGTCCATGGATTCTCCAGGCAAGAATACTGGAGTGTGTTACCATGCTCTCCTCCAGGGTACATGAATATGCAATTCATCAAATCAATAGAATTTGATTTGAATTAAGAATACTTTATTCCTTATTAAGAATATTTTAAATGGTTTCAAGATTCAAAAGTTTTGGTAGTTGAATGAATGATTATATATTAACTGAAAGAGACCTATATAACTGAACTAAATCACTTATCTTCAAATGAGAATCAAACTGAGAATTAGGAGTTCAGACTATTGTTTATGGCTGAGATATTATGTTGCTAGAAAATTTTTCTGCAGTGTATTTAAATAACTCAGGATGAAATCATTAGTAGGCCATCAGAAATAGATTTACAACTGTAGAATAAAGAAAAATATTTCTGTAATGGGTCACCCTCTAAATTTACACTGAAAGAGCCATAGCTACTAATGATATTCAACATAAGAGAAAGTTTGATATAAATTAAACAGGTCAGTTGGCCACTTTTACGATATTCCACACTATGATGGTGATACTTTTGACATGTTTGTCTTTAGAATATAAGGAACATGGTATTGAGTACCAAATAATTAACAGCACCAAAATTACAAAGATGCTTCAAATTAGTTCTAATTCTATATCAAAATATAAAATTATAAACCAAAAATAATCTTGATTTTACACAATACCCTGTTTTCCAGAGAAGAGATATTAGCTCTAATGAATGAAATGTATAAGCTATAAGCTTCATCAGCATAAATAACATCTAATCATTGGTCTAATGACTAGGCTAGAAATTCTGTAACAAAAGAAAAAACACAATTTAAAAATTAGGGATAGGGAAAAAGAAGAAACATCCATTCATTCTACAAATATTTGTTGAATATTATAGCTTGGGACTAAATGCAGTTAAGAACGCTGCTAAGTCACTTCAGTCGTGTCTGACTCTGTGCGATCCCATAGAAGGCAACTCACCAGGCTCCCCCGTCCCTGGGATTCTCCAGACAAGAATACTGGAGTGGGTTGTCATTTCCTTCTCCAATGCATAAAAGTGAAAAATGAAAGTGAAGTCGCTCAGTCATATCTGACTCTTAGCAACCCCATGGACTGCAGCCTACCAGGCTCCTCTGTCCATGGGATTTTCCAGGCAAGAGTACTGGAGTGGGGTGCCATTGCCTTCTCCCTTACAAGGATGCAAACCATTATCTGTGACTTTAATGATGTTACCTATATAAAATGTAATCATTTTGCAAAATATGCAAATACCAAGTCATTTTGTTGAACACCTGAAACTAATATAATGTTATATGCCAATCATTCCTTAATAAAAATGTCATGTTTTAAAATATATATGTATATACAGAGACAAAGTAATAAATAACTAGAGAAAGTAATAAATATCAGGAGAAAGAAAAACAGTGTTCAGTTAGGTGAAGAAAAAGGTCCTTAAAAAAAAAAAAGAAAAATAAGAAGTCCTAAGTATAGGAGAATGGCTCTCTTGATTCTAATATATTAAAAAAAAACAATTTTAATATACATAAAAACCTTTTTTGTCATTTCATAAGTTTTCTGATTCACCTACCTGTTATTTCACTGCTTGATGTAATCCCTGGAGTGGAAGCTACTGAATTGGAGAAAATAATAGGAAAAAATGTTTTCTATGGAAGGAAAATTATGTTTCTGATAACATCTATGGTCATATATAAAATAGATCAACTTGAAATTAATGTTTCAGAGAAATCTGATTAAATAGTTAAATAGGTATCAAAACATAAAATTAGAGTTTAAAATCTATAGACCACAAGTAAAATGTCAAAGACTTTTATCAGTTTGTATAACACTTTTTTCTAAAATCTTAAAAACAAAACAAAAACAGAAAAAAAAATCTTCCCCAAAAAATGTAATTGCAAAGGTATAAATAATACTGCAAAAGGAAGTTTTGGATTTTTTTTTAAGTCCCTCTTAAGTTGTGGTTGATGATTATTGCTTACCTGTGCCTGAGCTATTGGTGACCAGTGTGATTACTGTACAAAGGAGGAGACAAATATTTGGAAATGTATGTTCAGATGGTTTTGAAAGACAAGATTATAAAGTATTTATTTAGACACGACTAGATATCTCTAGAATGCAAATAAATGATGAAATGCAACAGTTAAGTTCATTTACCAGATGCTTACACATTTTAATATACTCTTGTACTTCTTTGACCACTGCTTTAATTACAAGTGATTCAGTTAAAGTTAAAATTCTTTGGTGTAAGTTGAAAAGAAAATATAATTTATTTTGAAGGAATTTAGCATAGAATTTTATTCTGTAGCCTTTTTTTTTTTCAAATTAGTAACATGCAGAATGTTCTTTTTAGGACATATGGTCTCTAAATAGGGAAGAGGTTCTCCAATATCACAATTGGATGTAGACCTTACTAGTTGGCATTTAAGAAATAAATAAATAGAAAATGACAACTTTGGGGAAAAGGGCCAAAATGCCTGAGTTGCAAACTCATCCATAGCTTATTTAGATGCTAAAAAGCAAATAAGCATTTTTTTTTTACCTGCTTCGGTGCTTAGTATGGAGGTAGCTGTTGTAGTAGAAACTGTTTGGGGAAGACAATATTTACGAAAATAAATTACTTAAATAATCTTTCTGGCAAATTTATTTCAAGAAACCAGTTGCCAAAGACTCAATAAAAATTTCTGAAATTGTATGTGGAGGTTAATTGACAAAACAATCTTTCATTCAGATCAATATTAATAACTCTTACTGTATGTCCAACAAAAATGATTAATTATTTTCTATTATTACCACTTAACCAAAATCTCACAGGAACTTTGTTAAATCTATTTATGGGCCAAGATGAACTCTGCACTTAGCTTTAGGAAAGTAACCTATGATAACTAAAATAAATATCACTTCACTGATGATCACATACTAAATACATTATCACAACCTAAGGCTTTCAATTTACAATACTATCTCTTAATTGACATAACCTCCAAATATTGATCAATGAGAAATAAGAGTATGTAAGTGTACTGTAGTAACTCTAAGTACACTTACCACCAGTACATTTAAAGTTCCAAAGCCAAAGTTAAACTGCATTTTGCCCAGTAATATCTTGAATGGATACAACTAAAGTAGCCTTATAGCTTGCAAGAAATACACAAGTTAAGAAAAATAAATTAATTTTTATTTCTGTGTTTTCACCTCCCGGTATAATCATGATTTCAAAATATTTACTTCACAGGAGATCACATTTACTTTTTCATTGCATTTGTTCAAATTATCATCTAAAAATGTCAAGCTTTGGATGATGATGTTCAACTAATAATAAGCATGTAATACCTATTTTGTGTTCTAATCACATTACTAACTTAACTCACAGGAGTATAATGAAATTATATTTTGACATATTTTCTAGTAACTTAATTTTAATTTTAAATTTTATATCAGCATATTTATCAGCATATCTTTTACTGGCACAGACTCATGTGAAACTATAAATGATTATCATAAAAAGAAATCAGAAATACACATTTAAACCATAATGATGATTTTACCTGTATATGTTGAATTTGTAGGAGCAGTTTCTGAAATAATCACAAATTACTATTACTGACAGAAATGAAAAGTTGTGAAAAAAATTCTAAAACTCAAGTTGCCTATGAATTATCTGTTTCTTTTTTATTTCACTTCTTGCAGTTTTGAATACACAAAAAGAATCATTTATATATTCTTTTGAAGTTTACTGAAATTTCTTTTTAAGATATATGTTGCATATGAGTAATCTTTCAAAGAGTTAATTCTACCTATATAACTACTATCTTCCATTCCATCCCTATATTAAACTGTTTTAACTGATGTCTCACTTCCTTAGTTCCCAGAGCCTACAGACAGGCAGGAGCAGAGCAAGAGAACTGCCCCATCTACCAGTGGTTTGAAGGGCCGCGGCAGCATTGGTTTTGAACTGACCCAACATAAACAAACACACTGAAACGGAATTGTGTCAATCCGCTGAGGACAGTATAAATAAAGCATTAACTACATACCCCTCTGCTGTTGATGGTCAAAAAAGACTCCAAACTCTTTATCTCATCTTTCCTAAATCAATTAGAGTAAAATATAGTGACTCACCACTGCACTCCAATTCTCCTGCGATGCAATAGCTGAAAGTTAAATTATAAACGAAAACAGAAACAATGAAAAAGAGGAAGAACATGAAAATTTTAACTCCTAATTATATACATTTCCTAAATTTAAAGCAACGAATTATCTAACAGTGAAGATCAAAACAGAACCAAATAAGAGAAAAATAAATAATCGTTTCCCCAAGAGCATGTTCAAATTGGTTTTGTTTTTGTTTTTTTGTTTTTCCCTGTACTGTTTCCTAATCTTTTCACTGAGCTATTCTTGGGACCTAAAAGAATGTTTGGAATCAAGCTGTAAAGTTAGTTCTTACATTTTCAGTTTCAAACAGGATGTTTTTTGATGGACTTGCTGCTCTAGTACAGACCTCCCTTTGAAAGCCTATAAACATGATCTTACATTTATGGAATGAAAACTTTCTTTTTACCCAAAACAACATAGTGACATTTTCTGTACTGTCTTTTCCACTAAGATTTAACAAATCATTAGTCCATACGTGGATTTAATGAAAACCCAAAATAAGTAACATAAAACTGAACCTAAAGCTGACCTCCTCATTTAGAAGTAACAGAGTTAACAATATATTCATTGATTTTTTTTCTTGTTTTCTAAATAAAAATGTAAGGAACAGAACTATTGGACAGTTAGAGAACATACCATGTTCTCCCACAGTTGTCTTGAATCACTCCACCGGCTGGCACGATATCATTATAGAAGCAGGTGCACTCAGCCAAACTGACGCACTTCATAGTGTTCTCATCCAGGTAGGGAGCACTGTCCGGGCATTTGGCATAACAGCCTGTGTGTAAAAACGGCCCTCAGTTCATCTCTGTTTGCTGAAACTCCCCATACTGCATTATAGAATTGTACACTTACTTCAATGATTCCAAGAACTGAAGTAGATAACAGCATACTTTTAGTGAAAAACATATAAAATTGAACAGGATTCAGATTCGTTGGCAATGAAATATCAACCTGAGAACTTAGAAATTTCAGCTGACTTAATTTTTTCCAAAATATTTCCTAAATATTTTAAGAGATTTACTACTTTAATGACAGCCACGATGTTGAACATAACACAAGACTTGGATAAGTATGTGTCTTGAAACGTGAATGCCAATTCTAAATACTTTCATGAATACCAACTCTAAATACTGTTTCATCGGATAGATGAAGATAACAGAAATCATAATAAAATGGGCTGAAAATATCACAAAGCCTGGGATTTAACATCGATGTGACTGTTAGAAAGTTTTTGTATCATCTTGTTTTCTTGCCACTTTTTTACTTTTAGTTAAGATATGTAATGTTAAGAGTAAAGTACTTTTTAACTGTGGGTATAGTTAACTGGCCTCCATTCAAGTGAGACTATATTATATGTTGCATTCTGCAATGATAGTCTCAACAAATGCCTTGTCTAATGAAACGTATAAAGATTGCTAGTAGGATGAGACCACTATGTTCTCTCTCTCTCTCTCCTGTTAAATAGATAATTTATGCCTAGAGAAAATGTTTCTAATGTAGAAATACTAATGTCATAATAAAGATAAATAGATATTCACTAAATTACAAAATGTAAGATACTGAACTGCCAGAAACTAACATTTCCCAGTTTTAAGATATCAGTATAATCTGCACCTTTTCGTGGGTATTATTAAAATATGTCTTACCTTCTAAAAGTGCAGAAAATTTCTGGCCAATTACTCGATCTTTGCATGTTTTGGCAGTCACTGTGCCACAGGGTTCATAATGCCAGCTGAATTCCCCAGGTGCATTATAATAATCACAGTAGACAGCTATGATTGAATTATATCAAATTACTTGCATTCATTATGACAATTTTCAACTTTAATTTTCCAAAGCATTTTTATGAGAGATTTTGAATGATACTAACAATAAACAGACCTAAAGTATATCATTTTGTCTTATTAAGTCCTTTGGCTGTATCCAAATTGCCATATAAACCAAAACAGTTTTTTAAAAAGGGAGAGAAACTTATAGAATCAAAATAGCACTTTTAAAAAATCTCACAATAAGATTGATTTTAAAAAGAAGAGTCAACATTAACTTTTCCAATTTTTGAGCTATTTTTGATACTCTATATTCATGGTTTTAATGTTTAGCCTTAAGCAAGGAAAATAAATCTCTAGGAAAATTGGTCTTTTTACATAAAAGTAACAGTTCCCAAATGAGGTAACTAAAGATTTCAATATAATATTCAATATAATATTTCAATATAATATTTCAATATATAAAGCTGTACATAATAGACTGAATAAAATGCAGATTCAATTTCAACATTTGTCACATTTTCTCTTAAAATACCTTCCTTTAGAAGAAAAAGAGTTGACTAATCTCTACTAAAGTTACCATATTTCACACATATCAAAATTCTGTTTATATTCATATTATAGCTTATCTTGACTCGAGCACTATAAACATTTTCAAGATGATATGTGAGGACTTCAAACAAAAGTGATATGTGAGGTAAATATTTAAGAACATCTAACTATACTAAGATAGGTAGGCAGTTCATTGCTCATCTAAGTATGAATAAGAACTATTTTCCATCAATATTCAATCCTCCTCTGTGAACATAACTTTTGAAACTAAAATTGAATTTGGTGCACCATGTCAAGTGCTATATTAAATAGATATTTTTTTCCATCACAAACAAACATATTAACATGTTGTTAAGCCTGTTTAGGCCCAAGAATCTGTATTTTCTAGAAAATTGAGAAGATTGACTATCTTAACAAAACGATTCTAATTATGGTTTAAAGAAGAGCTACACATGGACTTCACTTACGACAGAGATCTGGTTTTCTCCATGTGACACAGACTCCGACTGCGCTGCACGCCTCTGCGTACATTGCCACCGCCGTGCAGAATCCCAGGTACTTCCCCTCCATGTCACAGGCGCAGGCTTCCTCAATACACGCATCATAGTACTCAGTGGGGTCCACCTGGGGGGAGCGCAGCACATGAGTCTCTGGGGGCAAAGCCTGTGCCTGTCCTTGCTCTCAGGGTCCCCCTACCTTATTGTGGCACTCTCTGAAGGTGCTGTCTCGAATGATCTCACACTTCCGCACAGCCCAGGCTTTACAGTATGGATTTGAGTCACATGGGAAGGTTTGAGCAACTGTGTCTGAACATTCTTGACTTGTTTTCCAACTATTTCCAAATTCCAGTGTTCCAGCAGCTACTGATGAGTATCTCGTGGTGAAATCATCCTTCAGATCACCATTGTTATTTCCACAGAGACCACACACCTGACCCTACATAGATCAGAAAGAGTACCGAAAACGTGAGTTATGCTAGAGATACATAGACAGATAGATAGATTTAGATAGATATATGATAGAGATATTAAGATTGTATACAAGTTTATTTTAAATTCCAAATTCTGGAAGAAAACCAGAATCTGTAGATATGCTTCTCCTCCCGTTTAATCCAAGGTGTCCTATATTGCAAAATGATCTAGTACTGATCAAGATAAATGCTTTAAGAATTAAAAAATAATTACATTCACTAGCTTCAAATTTGACAGGACTGTACTCTTAGGTTCTTAGAATATTTGCTCTGAGAACTACATTAATTCTATCTATACACCAAGCAACCAAATATGGCTAAAATAGAATTCATCAGGTTTACTGCATTTATTGTCCACCAAATTCTATCATCTTTGATTACATTTAATATTACATGTGAGGTTGAACAGACAAGAAGCATTGGTCTATAATAAATATTGCCATTCTCCCACTTTCTACCTCTGAATCTGTCCTCTAACTCTCAGTAGCAAAAATGATTTCACTTCTACTATGCTATTTGCAGACTTTCCCAGTGGTTCAGTGGTAAAGAATCCACCTGCAATGCAGGAGAGTCACAGGAGTCACCGGTTCAATCCCTGGGTCAGGAAGATCCCCTGGAGGAGGGTATTCTTGCCTGGAGAATCCCAGGAACAGAGGAGCCTGGTGGGCTACAGTCCATGGGGTCGCAAAGAGTTGGACACGACTGAAGTATATTATCTGTATCTGTTTGCTATTTGCTCTGTTATAGTATGTTGATATATATATATATGAAAATGATATACATACATTCCAGCGTGGATCCAGTATAACAGAAATTCTTGTATTTTTGTCCCAAATTACAGTTATTCCGTTTAAAAATTTCAGAATCAAGTACAGGCCAACGGTATGAACAGAGTATGAATTTCCATTGAGTTCACATTCCTTACTTTCTGTAGTTTTGACTGCTGTAACTTTACCATCATGCAAGACAATATTTTGATCCTGTAAATTAAAAGACAGACTGACTTATAGTAACATCTATCTTATTTGGCAGTTCATAATCTGAGTGGGAAAAAAATAGTACTGTACCTGAAAAGCAACTATAATTTTTCTCGAGCATGTAAGTCCATCCTCACAGCATGGGACGCTTTCAGTTAAAATACGGAATGTGCCATTTTCACGACCACAATAATCCTTTAGAAATTAAATTTTAATAATAGTTTATATCAGGAACATGGAACTCAATTACAATATTTGTATCAGACAAATATTTCTTAGACAGTGACACCTTATACTTAATAAATTACCATATGTTACATTATGGAATTTCCAAAAGACAATGGTTATCTGTGTTGCAAATCTGTAGTCTTGGCTAAGTCCAAACTAAGTTGTTTGACACAGTTCTTTTCCCATTACTTCCATACAAGATTAGAATCATACCATAGATGTGTGTGTAAATTTATAATCTTATAAATTATAGGATTATGTAAGTTTATAATCTTAAATTTATTTCTAGATTGTTCAGATAGCTAGATAAAGATGTCTTTTTCTTCAGTGATTTATATGAAACTTGATATTCACTCAAAACTCATGCAAAACAATCCATATTTCACCCCTTACATGTTACTTAACAAGCAGTTTAGGTATGTGCAGCAAGCATGGACTCCAGAATCTGACAGATCTAGGTTTGAATATGAGCATTTTCTACCTAGTAGTTCATGTTGCTTAACCTCTGTAAACCTCAACTTCTTCATCTCCTTCATGGGGATAATGATACAAATGTTTTATATTATAAATGATTAAATGTATAGATTCACTTGGAAAAGAAGCACTCATAAAATGGTATTGTTGCAGATAGTACTGTTGCTAAAATAATGACACCCAACATTTATTGAGCACTTATTATGTGCTCCAATATTTTCTCTAATTTGGTTTCAAGTAGGGGCTATTTCCATTATACAGTTAAGGAAACTGAGACACAGAGAAATTAAGGTATGTGCCCAAAGTCACACATCTGAGAAATGGCAGAGGTAGGAGTGAAATTTAGGCCTACTGGCTCCAGTAATATTACATTTTACTGCCTTCAAGAAACATATATGTGGCATGTTTTTTTTTAAATTCACATTTTGAGAATAAAATTCTCCAGAGTTCATCTAATAATTATGAAGTAAAGAAAAATTGTTTAAAAACACACTTGTAATTACCTCGATAAGTGCATACTGGCAGAGACCATCAAAGCTGTAACTTTTTCCATCAAAAGTTCTAACATGACCGTCCCCATAGATATGACAGGTGGTTTGACATTCATTTTGTGTACAGTTCCAAGATCCTTTTATGCAAGTACTAGAAGAAAACAATAATACAGTGTGGTAATTGTATCATGCCAAGATTATGACTTAACTCATATTGCTTTTGTAAAGAATCACAAGGCATATCAGTTTAAATTTCACAGTTGTCCATTACACGATGTTCAAATTTTAATGCTGTATAAAATTTGTTTTAAAAATAGCTTTTCTAACTACATCTGACCATTATTTTCCCAAATATCCCAAAGTATGACTCCTTTCCCATAAAAATAAGAGCAGATTGTATGCTTTCTAATATCCAAAACAAATAAGACAATAATTCTTTATTATATACCATTTGTTGCAGCCGACTGAGGTGACACTTCCTTGGTCATACTCTCGTCCACCAAAAGAGCATGGGCAGTCATCAGGAAAAACACAGTTCCCTTTAGAATTTCGAACCATTCCTTCAGGACAGTAGCACCCACGTTTGCAAGGCAAGTTGTCCTATAGAAGCAAATATAAAATATACACCATGAGGCACTAGTCTAAATTCATTGCATTATCAGTGGTATTAATACTTGACAAAGCATAAATAAACCAAGTATACAGTTAGAATCAGCATTTGACAATTCAAAATGACACCCAAAAATAATATGAGCTTCGAATTATTTTTCTTTGATGTTTTAATTTCCATCTTCACCGAAACAAAAGTTTTTTTGAAATAAAAGTTTTTAAAACTCTAAACTCTAATACCATGTTACTTACATCAAAAGTAGGTATGTTCCGAGTGCTACATGTAGTATCAACTCTCCTCTGTGCCTTAGGATTCCTACAGTCAACATATTCAGCCCCTCCAGAACAATTCTCTGTGAGACAAAGGAAGTTGTTAGTCAAGGGCCTCCTGATCTGCTTATTTTAACTAAAGTAGATATCTTAAGCTTGCATCATGATTTCAAAACTTACGTAGTGTTAAATCAATGGGAGTCTGGCAAAGAAGAATCCCATCTCTGCAGACACTGGAAATAAAAGAAAATTATAAATTTAAATAAAATTTCAAAGACAGCTTAATACACTGTTATAGCAACTTTCATCCCTCATTCATAACCCCCTGCTATATGATGAATAATAAAATCAATGAGATACAGTCCCCCAAAAGATGCATGTGCATGTGCTCAATCATGGCCGATTCTTTGCAAACCACCAGGCTCCTCTGTCCATGTGATTTTCCAGGCAAGAATACTGGAGTGGGTTGCCATTTCCTGCTCCAGGGGATCTTCCCGACCCAGGGATCAAACCCGGGTCTCCTGTGGCTCCAGCACTGGTAGGTGGATTCTTTACCCCTGAGCCACCTTGGAAGCGGAAGAAAGATGCATAAAATGTAACAAATAAAAAGATACAACATGTATGCATTATAGGAATGTACAAATAAGGTTCTTAGGGACATGCAGAAAACTAAATGGAAAAGATGGCTGGATTTTGATGGATAAGAAAGTTTCAACAGATGTTGCTGATCAGATGCAAAGCTGTGACAAAGGAAAGAACAAGGCATGTTCTGATGACTTGTTTGGATAGAAGGTAGGATACATAGGGAGAAGTGGTAGAAGTAAGTTATAACCAGGTTTCAGATGGTCTCAAATGACATGCAAGTTTGTTTCTATTCTTTAGGCAACTGTCACCCTAAAATCGCTTTTTGAGCAGCTAAGTGGCACAATCAGAACAGTGCTTTAGATATGACATCCCAGTGACAGTACCGGAGACATGACAGAAAGAGAGCAAAGAAAAGTCAAGTTCACACAGTAGTCCAAAGAAGAGCTTTTAGAGATCGACAACAGGAAAATGCTAACACCATCCATAATTTGGAGGTGCTAGCCCAAGTTTTATGAAAAAGGTAATCTACCGATTCTCCAGTATTTGCTGGAGGTATCGTTAATCAAATCCCAACCAAATGTTCTGTGTACTTTGTTGATTAAAAGGAGTTGTTACATACGCTTTCCTTTAAAATGACCAAATTATTATTCATTGCTAAATGATACCTTTTTAAAATTAATTTACTTATTTTAATTGGAGGCTAATTACAATCTTGTGGTGGTTTTTGCCATGCATCGACATGGAACTAAAGAAAAGAGAGAAGGTGCATCCAAAGATTTTTGGAATGACTGCTTCATTTTTGCAGTTATGTTTTTAAGAATTGCTATTTCTGTTCACGAAATTAGAAATGTAGATAAATTACTTTGCCCAAACTGCAGGAATCACAACCTCCTTATCCACCACAAAAAGTTATAGTTCTTCAATACCTCCTACCACCCTGGAACAAAGTTTAAATTCTGGAAAATGGCCTGGTTACTTTCTTCTTTTCCAGCACAATCTTGTGTAACAACAACTGACATGTACAATACTATTTTAAGCATTTCCTATATTACTGCATTCTGTTTCCTTGACTGGAAGTCACTCTTCACACTCCAATTTTGTCAGAAAAAAGATTCATCCCTTAGGAAAACTGAAATGCTGATCTCTTCTGAGAAGTTGTGTTTTTCTTTTTTTCTTTTTTAAAATCTCCCGAGGTAGCAACTAGCCCTTGCTGGTACCATATGATAGTATATAAACCTCTTTGCAATAGTCTGCACCATGCTTACTCTGAGGCCAAGACAATGACCACTCATCTTTGCAACTCCAGTGCTTAGCACAAAGCCTGGCACACGGTAGGCATTTATTGAATAACTGTTGGTTGAATGATAAGTGCTGAGAGACACTAGGAAGCATTGCCTGAATATGAAATTGCTTTGCATTCTCTGTACATAGAAGCTGCTAGAATATTTTTCTACTGTCATTTAAAACCAAACATGAGTGGGATATATGAGCAATGGCCATTACAGTGAAATGTACACTCCAGGTAATATTAAACTTTAATGAGAAATACAAAATTTAAAATGTGGCAGGTCTAAAGAAGATTTCATCCAAGCAAAAGACTATTTCTTTGAAAAGCAAAGTCTCTTGATTTTAAAGTCATAACAATATATGTGGAATTTCCATACCATTTGTTGTCATCAATATGGATGAGTTTGCCTGGTTGCACGACCTCATCATTTATATAGCAGTCACACTGAGATTTTGAAACACAATTTCCTTCATTATTCTTGTACATTTCATCAGGGCAAGTGCATCCATCAACTGGAATGCCTTCCATATCACAGCTCTTATCTCTCTCTGACAATGATCGGCAAGAACTATTGCAGGTTTTTACATTGTACTTGAAAACTAGGCCACTAGGACAAGATTGATCTGTTGGTATAGGGAAAATATGGTCAGCATGCAAATATCCAGAGTAGTTAGTAATCTTAATTCAATTTGATGTTTACAGTATTATAGTGAATTGACCATAATTGAGTTATGAATAATAAAGGAAAAGGTACTTGTCTTTTTTTTCTGTCAGTATTGAGACACTGCTATAATGTCGACACATTCTGCTGGAGATAAAGCCCATACACAAGATAGATAGTTCATTGCTCTCAGGCAGCTTATATTCCTTGGGAAAAGACAATCGTGGTAAATGCTAAAAAGCAAAATAGGAAGCTCTGAATGTGTATAGCTGGGAACCTGCCCTTAGTGAAGAGGAGGGACAGATAGACAGCATGAAGATGGGAATTCTATATCTGGAGAACAACTTAAGTTAGAAGAGAAGGGAATTCTTTCAAAGAGCAAGTAAGAGAATAGAAACTATAAACCTTGTAAGCAGTTTGGTCTTTAGCCTGAATGCCATAAAATGCCACTGACCTGTTTTAGACTGAAATGTCACATGATCAGGCTAGTTTTATTTGGTTTTACTTTAAAGATTATACTGATTTCTCTGTAGAAATTGAATTAGAGGGAACCAAGACTGGATATTGAAAGAAGCTACTACAATCATCCAATAGGAAAAATCATGGCTCTTGAACTAGGTTGGTGGCAACAGAGATGAAAATATATGAATGGATTTGAGAGTAATTTTGGAGGTGAGCTTAGACCTTACTGATTGACTAGAAGTTGGCTATACAGTATTAAGCACGATCTAGAGAGATGCATTTCCCAAAAGCTTTTCTGAAGTCATATTTGAAGAGTGCAGTAGCTTTCTTTTTCATTCAATGAAGTATTTATCAGCCTTCTACTAAGATTTTTTCACTTTTTTCTTTCACTGATTATAGTCAATTTACAATATTATATTAGTTTCAGGTGTATAACACAGTGATTCAAAAATTTTATAGGTTATATTCTGGTTTATAGTTATAAAATATTTTATATATATCCTGTATTGTACAATATACACTTGTAGCTTATTTATTTTATATACAATAGTTTGTACCTATTAATCCCTATATTTTTCCTCTACCCTTCCCACTGGTAACCACTGGTTTGTTCTCTATATCTGTGAATTTATTTCTTTATTGTTACATTCACTAGTTTGTTTTATCTTTCAAATTACACTTAAAAGTGATAACATACCATGTTCTTCTTTCTCTGTCTGACTTTAGGGTAAAAATTTTTTAAAACAAAGCAAGATTATTTTTCTGGTCTCATGGCATGTGGGATCTTAGCCCATAACTAAAGATCCAACCTGTGCCCCCTGAATTAGAAGCACAAAGTTTTAATCTCTGGACCACTTGGGAAGTCCCCAAAGTATGAATGCAGTAATTGATTCCCTAATTTACTAACTTATTTCTTCAAAATAAGTTACTAACACGACTATCAGTTAAAATGTAGTAGAAGTCAGAACATTATTTAAATTTCAGCATATAAAATTGAACAAAAATATATATTTATATATAAATGCACATATATTTTGGTCTTATTAAAATATAAATGTATTTAATCAAGATATAAGAAATAAATCAATAAATCAATATGCAAGGATTAAACAAACATGTTGTTGTTTAGTCAGTAAGTCATGTTTGACACTTTGTAACACTGAGGACTGTGGCCTGCCAGGCTCCTCTGTCCACGGGACTTCCCAGGCAAGAATACTGGAGTGGGTTGCCATTATTTAAAAATAAAGAAAATCATCTTTGAAAGAACCAAATACAAATTTGTAAATACACACACCTAAACTACACATTAAATTAAACTACATACTAAATTAAACTACATATGGATGTGAGAGTTTGACTATAAAGAAGGCTGAGTACCAAAGAATTGATGCTTTTGAAATGTGGTATTGGAGAAGTCTCTTGAGAGTGCTTTGGACTACAAGGATATCAAACCAGTCCATCCTAAAGGAAATCAACCCTGAATATTCATTGGAAGGACTGATGCTGAAGCTGAAGCTCCAATACTTTGGCCACCTGATGTGAAGAGCCAATTCATTAGAAAAGACCCTGATGCTGGGAAAGATTGAAGGCAGGAGGAGAAGGGGACAACAGAGGATGAGATGGTTGGATGGCATCACCAACTCAATGGAAATGAGTTTGAGCAAGCTCCAGGAGATGGTGAAGGACAGGGAAGGCTGGCATGCTGCAGTCCCTGAGGTTGGTTGCAAAGAGTCAGACACAACCGAGCGACTGAACAATAGCAACAAACTACACACACACACACACACCTGTTGTAAAGCTGAGAAGAAAGTAGAGCTATCTAAAGCCTCTATTCTGCTTACCACATAGCCCAGTTCTCCATCCTACCATGGAAGTTTCCTTCTCAGCACATGCTTTCACGTAGTTGCCTAAAATTGTACACAGGCAATCTTGGCTATTTTCACAAGTACAAGTGTATTTTTTGCATTCCTTTAAAATAAGAAACAAATTTATATTATGAAAATATTCAGAATAGATAAACTGGTATAACAAAACAGTTTATAACCACTCCTCTTCTGGAAAATATTTTGTCCTTGAAACTTTTGGAATTATTTTATGTCTCAAAATATGCAAATTAGAAAATCAAATATTAACTGAGTTTTCCAAGAACTTAGAGAAACTTATTCAATATTTTCCTCTTGTGGGGTTATTTTCTAGTCCCTCTTTTTTGAGTTGGTATATCTAACAATTGAATAAAGTAATATAATCCAATTTAAACTTAAATGTATGTCTTAATCTACTGAAAATGACTGCTATTTGAACATTTTTAACATCTAATGCTTCCTTCCTTTAGTATTATAAAAATATTTCTCAAAAAGGGCTGTTAGTGTTAGACCTTCACATACCTCATGATATGGTTTAGGGTCCACGATTGAATGGCAAGAAGCAAAAGGACCAGTCAAATCAAGAAGAATTCCACAGTGTCTTTCAGCAAACCGTTCTGAAAGAAAATTAATGCACCCAACACTAGATTAAATATCATAAATTTTTAATTAAAAGAGAGAGTGTAAATTTTTTAAACTATCCTCTGATTTGTGTCTTTATTAAAACAATTGGTTTTTAAAGTGTTATGCTATAATTTGTTATCACTGTATGCAAAAAAAGCATGATGTAATAAGAAACAAATCTTTATTAGGTTTGGACTTTTATATTAAATCAGTTAACCTTTTTCTGAAGTGCAATTTCTATATAAAATATGAATAAGGGAACCATATTATTTAGGTAACTTTAGTTTACAATACATATTTATGTTAAATTATGAAAGGTCGGTACTGTCACCCCAGAAGGCCAAATCTGTGTTTCTGAAGGTCATAAATTATGACAATCATTATCAATAATTAAAATACAATAACTTCATTTAGCTGCTTAATTGATACTAGGTAGATTTATCAATAGTCTTCTGTTAAATTAATTGAAGAGAAAATTCACAAAACAATACATTAAACAACATTTAAGTCAAAAATGTTTTGCTTGGTGATTTGCAAATTCTCAAGGATGATGACCATGCCTAGCACAAGCATTGCTAGAATTTTTTTTAACTATTTGCTGATTGACTTTTAAAAGTGACCGTCACCAAAAAGCAATAAAGGACAATGACCGAACCTATTAAAAGGACATTGAGGCCAATTATTCTTAAAATTTGGACAAACTTGCAACCAGGTATCAATGCTCTTATGTAAATATTACTAGCATCTTATTATTGTCTAATTTTCTGTATTTTATGTTATTAAGTTATATTTAAAGCACTGAAAATTAAAAGAGTTATATCTCTCAAAAGTATTAACATATAGTCTGCTTAACATAAATTGGTTTGGTTTCTTATGAGATGTATATTTTTTTTTACCTATTCTCATTTTATTTTCATTGCAACACCCACAAAATAAAATAATGACAAAACCTTGAAATGTGCATTATCATACTGATGTTAATGCATTTATCAACTCATCTTTTAAATCAAAACAAATAAATGAAACTTCAAAAGGAGTCACTTTAGTAGTTTATAAACTGATCAGACATTTGTTTCAAGTAAGCAGATTAAGAAATAACAAATTAACATTTCATTATAATACATTTTAACTTACCTTCCATTGCATTCCATTATTTATGAAAGAAGCAACATAAAACGAAGCATATGTTAAAATCAATGACACTAGAGGAACAATTAGAGAAATACTGGGACTCAAAACACTTGGATTACACCTTATTGAGAACACCCTATCTAAATCTCCATTATCACCATCTACATGAATGGGAATAATAACCTCATCCACATCCTTCACCACTCTCTGTAGAAATAAATTGAATTATCAATAATATGTATGAAAGTCCTTGGTAAGCTGAATCATATAAGTGTACAGTTTTTCCACTAAAATCTCTATTTGGGGATTGGTATAACTAATATACATGATGGCAGTGGTTAGGAGACCTGGATCTAACTACAGCTGTACCGTGAAGTGTCTCGGGAATTTGGGTGAGGGTTGCTATTCAAAGAAATGATCCTTTATACAACTATATAAAATAGAAATAATAATAACAGAAGTGATGAGTGAAGTCTCTTCTAACCCTATCATCTTAAAACTATGGAGAAAACTGTATATGGAGGAAAAGAATGGGTAGAGAAGACAACAGTGTCTCTTCCTCCATCTATTCCCAAATGAGAAGCTTGTTTTCTGAGAGAGTCATCAGCCAGTCAAATTGTTTTTCCACTGTTCCCTCTAAAGCTGAAAAAGTTCACAAACACTAGCTGAAAACTGGATTATCTAGTAGTCTCATATTATTACCAGAATAAGTTTATAATTCCAGTGACAAATATCTAATTACAGAGTTTGAGGTTCAATAAACAATACCTTTTTCTATACTGATGCAAGAAGCAGTGCTAGCTTTAGGACAGGGCATCATTTCCCAAGAACTAGCAAACGCCTGAGAGGTCTTTTCTAATATGTTCTGACTTGACATGAAATCATCCTCTGCTCTGTTGTTGTGGGAACCACAGAGTCCTGCAGAAAGCACAGAACAGATGTTAGCATCGTCTCACCTTTGGATTCACATTCAGTTCTTTGCTCAAATCAAACCATGCATGAGCCACATGAGAGTATGTCTTGGTTAGTCTTTATACACATAAGTAAAATTTCATGACACATCAGGTTAATATTGCCATTTATAATTCCGGGAGCACTGAAACACCATTTGACATGAATATTATTTTCTTCCTGTTTGTTGCTGTAACTTAACCTCCTTTGACAAGGCTTTAGAAGGCATGCCTAAAGTAGAAAGTTTATGACTGCACATTTTCAGTTTCATTGTGAAGAGGTGAATCATGTTAAGAGCTATCTGCCTTTCTTATCTGGACCCTACTGACCCTTGAATTACATTTTTTTTTGCCTATGTATAAATAAGTCAAAAATGTTCACTTGTTAAGCAAAAGTATCTTGCAAAAACTTAGATGGTTTTAAATGAGTAAATGTGGAATTTGCCAAGGTTTCTTTGTTTTGTTTGATATTTGTGACAGCATGTAAAAACTGATTTCTGTAATAGAATACCTCAGTAAAATAGAAAACCTCAGTAAAAGAAAGATAATCTATGAGCAGAAAGACAAGTTGTAAAACAACTTGTATTTGGAAATTGATTTTCAAAAGATTTATAATATTTGCATTTATTCTTCCACAAGTCAGTTTTAGTAACATATTAGCAAACTGATATATAGCATATATTATCAAATCTCACAATAAATCCTTAATTTAAAAACCTTAAGATGTTTAAATTGTTGAAAACCATTAGGAAATAGATTTTGTAATAAATAAAGCTATCTACACTGTATGTTCAGTTATTTTACTGCAATATGGAAGGAAAGATTAAGTTAAAATGCTTTACAGTCTAATATTAATGGAGACAACTGAAAATTACAGCAGATGGTTACACTATTGCTTTGGAAATAAAAACATATCTATGAGGTACCATCTCATGCCAGTCAGAATGGTTGCTATCAAAGAGTCTCCAAACAATAAATTCTGGAGAGAGTGTGGAGAAAAAGGAACCCTCTTACACTGTTGGTGGGAATGCAAACTAGTACAGCCGCTATAGAGAACAGTGTGGAGATTCCTTAAGAAACTGGAAATAGAACTGCCATATGACCCAGCAATCCCACTGCTGGGCATACACACCAAGGAAACCAGAATTTAAAGAGACACATGTACCCCAATGTTCATCGCAGCATTGTTTACAATCGCCAGGACATGGAAGCAACCTAGATATCCATCGGCAGACGAATGGATGAGAAAGCTGTGGTACATATACACAATGGAATATTACTCAGCTACTAAAAAGAACACATTTGAGTCAGTTCTAATGAGGTGGATGAAACTGGAGCCTATTATACAGAGTGAAGTAAGTCAGAAAGAAAAACACCAATGCAGTATATTAACGGATATATATGGAATTTAGAAAGGTAATCATGACCCTGTATGCAAGACAGCAAAAGAGACACAGATATAAAGAACAGACTTCTGGACTCTGGGAGAAGGCAAGGGTGGGATGATTTGAAAGATTAGCATTGAAATGTGTATATTACCATATGTGAAATAGATGACCAGTCCAAGTATGATGCATGAAACTGGGCACTCAAACCCACTGCACTGGGACAACCCAGAGGGATGGGATGGGGAGGGAGGTGGGACAGAGGTTCGACACGGGGGAACACATGTACACCTGTGGCCGATTCATGTCAATGTATGGCAAAAACCACCACAATATTGTAAAGTAATTAGCCTCCAGTTAAAACAAATAAATTAATGTAAAAAGTATCTATAGGACTTACCTACAGTATCTGTGAATTGGTTAGGTGGCACAGAAACATACAATTGCATCACAGGAAAAATTTGAATTTGCATTTTTCCATGAAAGTATGTTTCTGCTTGAAGGTATGAGGAAGATGCATTGAAGATCTGTATTTGGTCTGTTAAAGTAATAATTTATATTAATAGCAATAATTAATATGTTAAACAGTTTTTATTTCTTAAAATGCCTATATACTGAATATATTTTTAAAAACAGAAACATTTATAACATAGCTAAAAATGGAATAAAGTAATGCATTTTATGTTTATAATATTTTAAATATCATTAAACTTACCTGAATAATAATAACCTTGATCTCCAAGCTTGTCACTTGTGACTGTTCCATCTCTATTGAACACGTATTTGTCAACTTGAGCAGACTAATATTTAAAGCATATTGTTAGTTCATTTTAGTTTTCAATATGAATATATCTAAGCATAATATTAATAAATTGAACCTGAAATTTTTCCCATAAAGCTTCACTGTAATAGACTAACTTATAAATGTCTAAAATATTAAACATTTTTAAAGCATTTCTTATATCAATTCTTAAAGGAGGATTATAAAGGACTTTTCAGCCCTGATTCGTAGATGAGGAAGCTAAAACCCAAGAAGATAACTTGGATTTCCAAAGGTCAACCCACTTGTAAGTAGCAAAGATCAAGCTAGGTACTCTCCCTCCCTATGTAGGTCATCTCCAGTTAAAGTGGTAGTCCCAAATACATGAAATTCTAAGCAAATATAACTGTCTTCTTAAAAGGGCCATAGATTTTAATAATCTAGTAAGTGTAAAAGGTTGACCTGTAATTAGCACCTTAGTTATGCGCCTATGTTAAATGATATTCATAAGGATCCTTAGAACTATACAGGTCTCCCAGAGACTTTATCAATCTCATTTATGGTTTTAATTTCACAGTGAAGTCTCTCTTTTTCAACCTCCAGAATTCTGAATTTGTAGAGTAATTGACTTGAGTTTGCTTTAGGAAGCTGATACTTACCGAATTCAAGAGGAGTGTAACACTATTTAAGCACGTTCCTGACTGACCACTTGGACATGGACGAAGCTCAACACTAATAGACCAATCTTTATCCTGTCAAAAAATACATTTATCAAATGTTTATTAACATGTCATTTGCATTTTTAATATGCAAAAGCTTTACATTCAATCAGTCTGCTCCGAAACTAGAAACCTAGTTCAGTCCAGGGGACAGTCTAGGATTGGCCAAGAGTTTTACAGATGGTCCAAGTGTTTTGCATAAGATATAGGCTATCTAAATAGTCTATGATTTGTGGATTCTCTCATTAACCTTTTTTTCCTTTAAGCTTTACTTTTTGTCTAGTCTCTATGGGAATTGTGCTGCATTATTGAGCCTCATAGGACTTAAAGGTAACACAGCTTGTTTATTTTCTGGAAAATCCATGATGTCAACTTAAATCCAATGAGAGAAACATTTAATTTGTAAATGCATAATGTAAGTCATGTCAAATATTGACTTCCAGTTCTTATTTCAAGATTTAGGAATCTCTAATCTATATGAAGCAAATATTCTGTATATTTTTATTTATTTCCCTCTCACTTTGCCCATCCCCTAGCTTCATGGATTATAAGAAGAGTATTCAAAAAAGGAAAGGAGATTTGGAAAACTGACTTTCAATAACAGTAACTATATTTTTCAGACACTGGTCCCCATCTCTCACTTCAGGAGTCACAAATTCTACTCATCTTTGTTTCTAACCAGGAAGATTAAGTAAAATTGCTTATTCTCATGCCAGTTAAAGGCACAACCTACAAAATGGAATCTCTCTTTTATTGAAATTTTACTTAAAATTTTAATACTGAAAAGAGTTTAAATGTAAGGATAACCTCTTTCATACTGTTATATTATAAAACTAAATAACACATTATGAAAACTAAAAATAAATGTAAAGGAATAATGAAAAAAGAGGAAAATACTTTATGGAACGTAAAAGATAGTTTCATTTGAGGCACTAGTGAACACATACAAAGAAAAGTAGAAAAAGGAAATCTTTTCCTGATATATTTAGAAAATTAATAGTAATAAAGATTTTGATTGTTTTTGTTTAGCAAAGAATTTCTAAGGAACACAGGTCATAATGATTGTCAATGTCAACATGTGACACAAAGCAGATATTGAAATACACAACCAATGATAGAATGGTTGTTTGTTATTTTTTAATCATAAATAAAGATGAAGATTGTGTTTAAAACTAGTAAGAAAAAACTTGGTGTCCATATCAGTTTTCTCAAGTGTTGCAGACTATTACATACATGGATGGCCAAAAAGTGACAGTTTCCAGGATGGTTGTATTTAACGCCATCAAAGGTGGTAATCAAACTTCCTTCTATCTTACATCTCCCAGGGCATAATGTTTCAGTGCAAGACCACTTTGCTTCTTGGCATGTGCTGTTAAAATGCAATGGTTATGAAAAGGTCATCAATTACATTTTCTTTATAATAAATACTACAACATGAAAAAAAATCACCACTTAAACATCTAGTTAGGTTTTATTATACCATCATCATTCCCCTCCCAACATCTCAGCCTTGATAAAATGTCTTTCAGACAATGGTATCCTAGTAATTTGTTTTGTACTATTTTTTAGTCTCTCAGTCGTGTTTGACTCTTTGTGACCCCATGGACTGTAGCCTGCCAGGCTCCTCTATCCACGGGATTTTACCAGGCAAGATTATTGGAGTGGGTTGCTATTTCCTCCTTCAGGAGATCTTTGTAACCCAAGGATTGAATCCATGTCTCCACACCTCCTGCATTGCAGGTGATTCTTTACCGCTGAGTCACCAGGTAGTTCTAATTCCATTGAACAAAATAACTTCTGCCTGCTCTGCTCAGTATAACATGGCCTCCCACATTGCAGACAGATTCTCTACCATCTGAGCTACCAGGGAAGTCATAAAGAGACATATAGTTATTGATTATGTGAAATGTGGCTGTCAGGCCAGAATGAGATCTTCTGTAAATGTAAAATACACACAGACTTGTAAGAATTAATACTGAAAAAGATGGTAAATCCTCTCAACATTTCATAATAATTTTATGCTGAAATGATAACATTAATATTTTGCATATGCAAAGTTGTGTGCTTTAGTTGCTAAGTCATGTCTGACTCTCTTGCAACCTTGTGGGCTGTAGCCCGCCAGGCTCATCTGTCCATAGGATTTCCCAGGCTGGATTGTAGTTTCCTTCTCCAGGGGCTCTTCCTGACCCAGGGGTCAAACCTGCGTCTCCTTCATTGGCAGATGGGTTCTTTATAACTGAGCCGCAGGGGAAGCCCATATGTAAAGCCCATGACTATGATTAATTCCACTTGTTTGTTTCTTTGTGCTTTTTAAAAATAATCAACTGAAAATGTTAAATTATACATGCAGATCATATTTGTGATTCACATTATATATAATGTATTATATATTATTACATTATAACATATATAAATATTAAAATGTTTATAATATAAAATACTTAATAATATATTAGTATATTATTAATATATACATAATACATTGCCTATTTGCTGAGAAAATATTACAATAAAAATGATACATTAGTTTTCATTGAGTCAGATTATTTCCCCAGAAGGACAAAGTACATTTCTAGAAAGTCCCTTGAATTCCTGCAGATATTTTGAGTTCCAGAGAAAAGTCATAATGAGGGATAGGGAAAGCTCTCTGGTCAGCATTTTGTCCTGAACTTAAAAGTAAGAATCAGTTATTCAACTAAAAGAGAAATAATCTACACTATCTTTGACACATTAAAATCCACTCTCAATCAAATATAGCTTCACCTATGTAACCTCATATAAAAATTATTTGAAAATGGTTGTTTGTAATTGTATATTTTAAAAATATTCTTGAATATTAGCATAATTATTATTTCATTATTGTAACCATAATTTTGTATTATTCTTTCCTCTGTTTTTCAACCACCAATTGGTTTACTCTTCAAAACATTATTTCAGCTCCTAAAAAACATTATCTTTTAAAGATACACAGAAATCTAATATATTTTACATGAAACACACAAAAATTCCTCAAAAAATGAAAGAATATAAACACAGAAAATGCCAAGAGGTTGAATTTTGTTTCTGAAAAGTTTAAGTGTGGATTTAAGGAATTATTTCAAGTTACACTAAAATATTAGTATTATTTCACTATCAATAAAATATAGACAAAAGGCACACACATACCACACAGAACCACAAGAACCTTCGCGGACTTCTCCTGACTGATATACCTTTCCACCAGATTCACAGGGACAGTCAGACTTCAACACACATCTCCCTTTCTCTCCAATATCATCCAATAGATAACCTAGAGCACATTATATAAGATTAATCTCCAATACTCTACAAACATCAGTAAATTCTCAAGCAGTGTATTGAGAAATCACTTTTGAGGTTGTTCTTTCAAGTGTAGACATACACTTAAAATAATTTCTATTTAAGAAATTTGAAAACTGGCAAGGGTATAGTTAACTTTCGGAACCACACAGTAGTCCTATTGAGCCCAGCATAGGGCTAGGAGATCATCTGTGTAGTATTATAGAGATAGAAATGCACATTAACTTTAAAAGTACCTCTACCCCCCCTTCCTATATGTTAGAAGGATAGATTATGAATAGGTGATAATTTATTCAATAAATATCTTGTTAGAAACAAGATCTCATTATGACTGTGTAACTCCATTTTCAAATGTTTTACCTTCTGGGCAGGTGCAACCACTCACACATTCAATGTCTTGAAAAGGAGCCACATTAGAACAAGTTGCAGGATTTGAGGGACCACATTCTTTGTAGATGTGCTTTTCTGGGCAAATAGGTTTTTCTGGAGAAATATAGAAATATGCATACATAGAAATCAGAGGAAAAGATATGTGATAAATATATAACATTCTAATGAGGATCTTTTAGAGTAGGCATCTAAATTTCAAGATATGGGTCAATTTTTAAAGATACTCAGTAACTAAATTATGCCAATTTCCTATGCATTACTTTATGATACAATATTTAATTTGAAGAAAATGTATATTATGTAGTATCATTTTACCTTACTTTGACATTGATATTCTATTTATATTTTAACTTAAAAGCTTGAACTAAGTATAAATGAAAGTATATTCAGATTTACATGAAACTCATTTAGATTTTCTAATTTTCTGAAAAAAATACTTACCAGTCAACATACTTTTGAAAACCTTCTAGCTTTTTTTTGGAGATTTTACAGAGTTTCACAAAATTATTTATTTTTCCCAGTGATTTTTGCTAATTATAAAGCCTATAAAGTCCCTAATTATATCTTAACATAAAGCACTTATGAAAAGTCACTCCACAAAATGGACCTCAATTTCTTCACAAGTACATGTCAGAGACAAGACCTTTCTTTCACCCATGAGGTTCCTTCCAGGAGTTATAGGTATTTGAGAAAATTCCTTTGAGACACAGCTCAACTTTAAATGTTATAGAATCTTCTTGATTTGGAGTCTACAATACATTTAAAACCTACCGCAAACCACATCAGGATCATTTCTCCAGGATTCAAAGATGCCAGGGCCATCCGAGGCACAGAGGCGGGACAGTTCTGAGTAAGTGTCACATGTGGATGTTTTGTTTCTACTTTGGCAGTACTCATCAATGCAGATCATTTTGTAGTCACTGGATAAAGTGCTAACCTTTCCACATTTCTCAAAATAGGTTCCAATAATTTTGTTACAGTACTGCAAAATAAAGCATGTAATTTTATTAAAGCAACAGAAAAATGAGGAATCAAAGGAGTATTTAGGGAAAGGTAAGTTCAGAGGGGGGGCGTTTGTACAATAGCCTATAGCTTCGACAGGGAAAGTTCTTGAACACTGATTGAAATGGGGAGTTTTGAATTATGACAGTTCCTATAGTGACTGCTAACTGAAAACTTCACCTCTGATAATAGGTAGTGACTTCAAAAATTGTACCTAATTTCATCCAAAATTTCTCTAAAGGGGACATGAAGTTCAGAACTCAAGAAAATGGAAAATATGAGAAAAGATTGTCCATGCCAGAGACTGGGATAGTGGATGATTGAAACCACAACAGACAGAAGGGTATTAACCCTTTAGCTGTCAGTCTGCTTATATAATATTTGATGAGCAAACAAATAAAATAGATTAATTCTGGGCTTTCTTGATGGGGATCATGTAAGCTGCTCTGGAAACAGCATATTTGTTATCACGTTGGTTAAGTAAATAAAGACATTACTATCAAGCAAAGAAGTTTTTAAATTTTTTTTTTAATTTTAACATGCTTTAATTAACACGCAGCTGTTTTCTATTTTAATTATGTTTGTTTTCAGAGAAATACAAAAGCTGCTAGCAAGCAAATACACAATTTCCACCAAGTAATCCCCAGGACAACTGATAGCATTCTCCAAGTGAGGTATAAAATTAAGTGAAATGAAATCTCAAAGACTTCTTTTTTTTAATCAATGAACTTTGGTTGGCTAAAAAGTTTGTTCAAGTTTTTCTGTAAGACATTACAGAAAAATCCAAATGGGCTTTTTGGCAAACTCAGTATTATTCTTTGTGTATCTTTCTCACTAGGTAAGAGGTTCCTTTAGAGCAGAAACTAGAACTTTGTGGTCTCTAGGCTTAACACAATGTCTCATACATAGTCTTTAATATAACTTTATATACTTATTCAGCTAACACATTTGAGCAACCAGGAGTAAGCTCTCACACACTGTGTAACTACCACAACAGTAAAACATAATACTGTTACAGAGCTCATAATCTCATAGGAAACGTGTAAGAAAAGCATGAGGCATTTTTATAGATCATAAATTCTAATAACTGGCATAGGGTAAAAGAGAAAAGAGAAAGTAATTCTAACTGCAAAGATCAAGGAGTACTTCACAAGTAAGATAGCAGATGATCTTGTACAATATTATGGTTTAATTTACTTTGATAGAAGCTGACAAGATGTTATAAATACAACATTCGTTGTAAATAAAACATGTTTCTTCTACCTATACAATTCATACATATCTTGATCTAGAGAATTTTACTCTAGATTGAAATAAGTATATGTGAAAATTCCTTCAGTCATCAAATGAATGAAATCTACCAAAATCAACATTCAGAGAATCATGGTAAGTGCAGAAAATTCAAAGCAAATGATGAATATTTTCAAGTGGTGTAGTCAAAAAATGATCTGTAACTTTTTCAGAAAAAAGATAAAGTATACTGGAGGTGACAATTCAGACTGGCTGTCTGAAGCAAAAGTAAGGTAGAGAGAGCAGAAAAGTAGTTCTTGGGAACACACTACAGAATTTCTAAACTGTAAAAGTCAAGCCAGTCCCCACTGAGATAATGATGGAGAGGTGAAGCATGTCAGTTTACAGGCCAACTAAAACACTGTTCAAAGGAAATTAGAATTATTATACTAATATATAGTAAGTATCATAATGTTTTAGGGAAAAAATACTTATTGAAGCATCTACAACCAGACTATAAAGCTGAGAAACAGATCATGCGGACATTGGAGAAGAAGCAGTTGCAGAATTCTAAGAATAAGGTCTCTGTGTTAAGAAGAGAATGCTGGCTATTTAAACTGAAACCAAAGGGACTATTACTGAAGTCTGCTATTAGATGAAATATGAATTTATTACCTGTACTCCATCTTCACAAACTTCATAGCTTTTACTAACAGCTTTGGAACAATCACCAGGAATTTTACTATCGGCAATGTGCTCACTGATATCATCTCCTTAAAAAGAAAGCAATGTTAACTTCAAGATAATAATTATATATGTGCATTATTTTCAAGATAAATATAGACTTGACAATATAAACATATATTTTAACAATTAATCATTCTTTATACAAAGGCAAATTGTTAGCTTTAGATTTATCCAAAATCAAATAATTGCAATTTCCTTTTGGGAGGGAGTTTTCTTAGATAAATGCATTGAAATCCTACCTGGAGTGCTGTTGAAGTTACCACAAAGACCACAAGTTGGATACTGCTTGTGAAGAGTGAGCTTTAAAAAAATTACATGTACATTTATAAAATATTGAAAATATCTCAAGACAAAATTTAAACAAATGGAAAGACAGAGCTTCTTCATGTTCAATTTTACCTAAGCTGGTTACTTAGTAATATATCACAGAATCCTTTCTAAATGATCTGAATTTAGAATTTGCAAAGATCTGACTTCACCTCTTACTGACTATGTCTTTGGTTAGATTATTTAACTTTTATTATCCTGAATTTCCTGAGTCCCATTATCTGTAAAATAAGATTACTAATATTATGTACTTCAAGATATTTTAAATATTAGATTATGCTTAGTACAGTCCTTGATACATAAAGATTTCTCAGTAAATCTTATCTCTTATTTTCCTTGTATTATATTATTTTTATAACTGAAAGTAAAGAAGAAAATGAACAGGACTATAGAAACTCATAGGTGGACTTACTGAGAGTTTGTTGTTTTTGTCCCACATTAAAGACAGGATTCCTCTTCGACTATTCAGAACATTATGTTCTCCATATTTTTTAATGTGAATCAACTTATTGTTATATGGTATCTGAACACTGAAAAGTATAAAATACAGTTACATATAAAAGATAACAGTATTATTGAATCAAACTTTTTCTGATAATTCATGTTTCTATATTTAGTATCATAAATAATACTGCTGGTAAATATTAAAGGTTTTTCTAGTCATTTCAGAAGGGACACAATGACTTTTTTCTGATTTTGGAAAGACTTTTAAGAAACAATGAATAAATCTTTGGGGCTCTGGAGAAATGAACAAGAAGAAACTGATTCGTTATAAGAATAAAATGATTAAATAATTTGAAATGTTCATAAGTAGCCTATCATATCTCATTTTCTTATCCTGAAAAGCATTGAAATACGTCATCCCTTCCAAACATAAATTGCTACTTCTAAAAATAATGGCCTAAGTTTCAGTGTATTGTGAAACCTCAAGTTTTTATTTAGCATTAAACATACAAATGAAAGTTGAAATATTCTATTAACGGTTTCATTGAATATGTATGTTGCCCCAAATCTAGACTCAAAACAGTCAAACAACAGGACTACTCTGTTTTTTACCACCTTGTTATAGGACTAAATCCCATATACAGCAAAGTCTTACATGTGTAACAAGATCTTTTTCTAAATGTCAATATGAGCACCAAAATAAGAAAAGAGTAGTATATCTTCCCCAATCAACCTTTTTTCCCCCTTTTTTGCTCAGGTTACTTCAAAATATTCTACATACTTTATTCAAAACACTATGACATTTACCTTTCACCATTAACTAAAAGTATATCACCAAAGATAGAGACATCATTGTTGTCAATTATAACTGTTATTTTTTCAATCTCACTATCATTGTTTCGTTTGATCTCAATATTGAAATCTCCTCCCGATTCAACACAGTGACGGCAGAAAGTATACGTGCATGAAGACTCAAAGGAAAAAACACGACCGTTGAAAGCTTTATATGCTCCTTTGCCCCAAGTAGAAGCTTCACCTACAAAATATTTAGGGTGAAATATTCATTATTTTAGATAATGAATTAATTAGAACAATTAATTCATTGTTAGAATTAATTCTAATTCAATTAATTAAATCTAATTCTAATTCATTAATTAGAACAATTAATGTAGCTTAGTTTTTATTTTTAAGTTTATGTACCAAGAAAAATATTCACTGAAAGGTACCTGTCTCACATCCATCTTAAATCTGCAATTTTCTTTCCTACATACTGCAAAATGTGTTATAATACCTGAATTCTTGGAAATACCCAAAGTTGGCTATTCCTGCTAAAACAAAAGAAGAAAAGCATCTTGTTTCCCCGTGGGAAAGGGGAACTGTCTCTACTGTGGGAGAGGATATATGGAAGGAAGCTAGCTCTGTTTGCTTGTTTCACTTTTTATAGAGATAATCTTTCTAATGTTGTCTGAGTGGGTTACCATTAATATTGGATGTGTCACAACTAAAAAATAAATTTTAAATAATTAAAATGTGAAAAAATATTAAATAAGTGTAAATAAGTATATTCTTTCTATACATATATATGTGTATATATATATATATATGTGTGTGTGTGTATGTTTATTTGTGTGTATGGTGTGTCTGGGTGTATAAAACAGATAGATGACAGGAAAATTTTTTAAACTGATTTCAAATTTTCTTTACTTTGAAACCTCATTAGGCACTGGCTGATGGGCATATAAATACATATACAAATTAGAAATAAATCTATTACTTACCAATAATTGCGTTTGTTTCTGAGTATTTCGGCGTTGCTTCTGGAATATGGGATCCTTTTTCTATTCAACAAAATGAACAGATTACTTAAATTTCTAATATGTATTGGCTTTAAATATATAGGATATTTGGTCTTCTATGTAGGAATTTAAAAATTGGTATTGAAGACCATCCAATGGGTTTTTTATCCTAAATATATAATTTCATTTTGTGATGCTATGATTTGCCAAAGTCACATGCATGATTATCTCTGAAGCCGATATTTTTTATTGTGGCAATCAGCTACAGTATGTTCAGACATCATTAACAGTTTATTCATTTTGGGTCATGAACAGTTAATAACATATGCTGCATTCCTTACAGAATTATTTTTTAGACTTCAAAAGTAGAACTTGGTGGCCTATATTTATTGGAAGATACTACCCAAACAGGTCCAAGATAGATTTATTAAACCAGTCTACTGTCTAATACTAGTAACTCAATTATCCATATATTAAAAAAATCAATTATCCTGATCAAAGGGAAAAATTCATAACCTTGAAACTTGGTTTCCCATAATCCTTTATTTCCAATGCACTGACTCTTTTATATGTGACCAAGTAAACACATGAAATCTTAGAGCAAGGTCTAAAAGCAAGCAACATAATACAGTAACAATTTTAAAAAGGGAATACTTTGATAGAACTTTTAAATATTTTTCACAATACCACTTATTGTATATTTTGAGGTCACTTCTCTTTATTACAGGCTGTCTTACCCAAGTTAGGCGAAAATAGATGGAATTCTGAATTTATTTATAAAATCAACCTTTAAATACTATATCTAAAATGATAAATGGGAGGTTGTATTGTTTTATTTAGGATCTGTTAAGATACAATTGAATGTTTCTTATTCAAAACTTGTTTCAAATATCCAATTGGTCATCTAAATTATAGTATTCAAAGAGAATAAGTACTTAGAAGTTCAATATTGCATGAGAAACATATAATAATATCAAGTTCCAGCAAATCGATAATCAAGAGAATATCTTATAAATACATTTTAAAAACTGAACATTTTAAATCAAACTACCTGGAGTGCTGAGTGATCCAGATGTACTGTAGTCAGATGAACTTGTGACACCTAATTAATACAAAATGATTAGGCCATTTCTGTTTGTAATTTTATTTGGTAAAAATATGAAAAGTATATTTTGAAATCTGATATATATATATCAAAGATCTAAATTCTTCAATGGTGATGATAGCAGACTTAGAACCACATGATGCTATATAAGACAAAAATTTTTATCAACTCAACAACCTGCTGGAGTAACAAAATTATAAGCCTCACTACTAAAAGAACTGATACCAAATCAATTTATTCCAGATCAATTGCTTAAAGCTTGTTCAGGGAAAGAGAAAAGTGTTGTTTAGACAGAGTTCCAAGTCTGCTTTTCCAGTTTCAACCAAACTTACTCTCACTATGAATTCTTTCACACTTGGGAAATCTAGGTACTGTTTCAAAATGTCAAGTGCATAAAGGATTCAGCATTCATAGAAACTGGAAATATTAAAATTATTAATCTAGATGAACTGAGATGTTCAATCTCAAGATGTCTAATGTCAAGAGACATTAATGTCAAGAGATTCAGAACCTGCCATTTCAAAAGCACTAGATTTACTAGCATTAGATATGCTACTGGGGAGACTATTAATTAATAAAAGTCTATCACCTAATTTGGAAAATTGAAAGCAGTTGAAAACTGACATCCAAATAGCAGAAAAATCTCAAGTGGGCAACCACTCCACAATAGAAAGATAAGAGATAATTACCTCTTAGTACATTTCTCAGGAACAAAACCTAATAAATTTGAATACCTACACTAATAACAGCAGGTCTGGGGTTCAGAATTTCAGTGTCTCTTTAACCATTTGTATCAACTGTACTTAAGCAAAATCAGTGACAATAAATAATGAAAGATTTCAAACATCTGACTTTCACTGAGGTTTTGACCCCAAAATGTGTGTCCAAAGATTAAGAACAACCCAAAATAAAATTATTATTTCTGTATGACCAAATTCATTAATAGTTGGCTCTGAGGCCAACCATTACTACACCACACTTTATTTTTTGCTAATTATATTTCTTTTTTTTAAAAGGTATTAATCCTAAATTTGAGTTCTAAGTATGAGTTGTATTTTTCAGCTACTTACTGCTAACTTCATCAAAATAGTTCCCATAGCATATTAAGTGTTGCTTTAACAATGTGCAACACAAATTTCAATACTATTTAATCTCATGCTTCCACTAAGTGGAAATAATAAGTTTTATGAGATTTTAAAAAAGGATGAATTTTATTTAGTCTTCTCAGGAATGGACCTGTTAAAAAATACTTTAGCCATCAAGGCTAGATGCAAAATACAAAGTTCAAGCCCAACAAATCAACTGCCATTCTTCCACTTATGCAACTCCAAATCAATTTCACATAAAGGCAACAAAAACGATCCCACACCAATATATTCACAACCACAAAACTAGTTCCACAATCTACACCAACATGTTAAATTAATTTCATCTGATATCATCTAAAGATATTTATCATTTTAGCACTTTCCATTGCTTTTTATATTTTATTAAGAAAAGTTATGATTTTCACTATTTTTTTATAAGTTATGTTTGAATTCTGACTTTTTAATTAACAGAAATAAACCTCAATTCTCAAATCAGGGGAACCAAATCCAATATCCTCTTTTCCAACATCACAGGTACCTGTACCACTAACGCCAGTTTCATCAGATATGTTTGGTCCAGAGGTACCAACACCAAGTCCAGCTGCACCCTTGTTTCCTTCACCACTTCCAGAATTAGAAGACCAAATGTTTCCTCCTAATGGAAAATCAAGATGTGATTAAAGAAATAAAGAAGGGAGCAATTAATTTGGATTTCTTGGGAGCAGAATCCAGGTTAAGATATCTGAGCCACTGACTTCAGATCCAGGACTCAAGTATTCAGCCCCAGCAGATCCACCACTACTCTTTCCATTCCCACCGATTTACTGACTCCAAATCCCTAGTGGTTAGATGACTCCAAACCAAATCCTGAATCTTCAGAAATGCCACTAAAATATTCAGCCCCAGTTCTTGCATTCTTTCCAAATAGAAAATGATGGTCAAAAGAATTATTTCAGAGCATATCGTGATTTAGAATTCTATGCAAAGACATTAACCATCAAAACCTATAGCACTAGAACTAGAGCTCAAAGAACCACCTACTCCATTTCTATCAGTCTATACCACTACGATCACTGTCACCAAATCAATCTGAACCAGAATCTCCAAAACCTTGAGTTCAGCCCTTCTTTTCTCCGTTTCTAAAGCTAGAAGCCCTTTCCTCTAGTGGAAAAATTAAAATGTTATTTTAAAAAAATAATGAAAATTTGAAATGCATTTCAATTTTACTGAAAGAATCCAGGTTAGCAGAATGCCTGAGTCGCGGGCATTGGTCCTGAGATTCATGGATCCAGACCCAACGGACATTGCCACCTCATTCTATCAATCTGCTGCCTCCAAATTCCTTTTCACCAAAAGGTCAAGCATCAATCCTAAATTTCCAAAATTATCGCTACTTGTTAATCCCCACTTCTTACACCAATACTCCTACCAGAATATCAGAAATTTGTCACCAGAATATATTTAATAAATATTATGGTTCAGAAACCTTTTTTTTCCAAAACTCTTTACTTCAAGTCCAAAATAAAAAGATTCAGGCTTTCAAGCTAGCAGAAAAATCAAAATATTATTAAACAAAATAATAAATATTTAGAACTCAACTGGATTTCTCAGGAAGGAGACTGAGAGGATACCTGAACTACTGGCATCAGAGCCAAGGCCTTTGCGTTCGTCCTCAACAGATGCATTGCCACTCAAGCCATCCCCTCCAAGTTCATTGATTTCCAATCCCTGTTGACCAGAAGACCCTAAATTGGATTCCAGATTTTCAGAGCTATCACCAACATAGGTACTAACACCTCTCAAACTGGTGTCACCTGCAGAATATAAAATGGTTGTCACAGAGTTTATAGAGAATATTTTATGATTCAGAAATGTATATGTGCAAAAATGAGATATCAATACCTAGATCACTGGAAATGGATCCTTCAGATCTAACCACTCGATTTCCTTCAGCTGTTTTGCTACTAAAGTCACTGTCACCAAATGAACTTGAACCAGAAGTTCCAAAACCAAATGCATCATTGACCCTTCCAGCTCCAACTTCCCAACCAAAAGACTCTGTTTCAATTGAAAAAACAAATCAAGATGTTATTAAAATTTAATCTTTAATGATTAATTTGTTTTAAGGTATTATTTAAATGAAAGTGTTTCCATGTTTCCACCACTTAATTTAATTAACTTAAAATTTTCCAGAATAAGTTTTGATTGGAATACCTGAGCTACTAACATCAGATCCAAGATCTTTAAATCCAGCCCCAACAGATGCACTGCCACTCAAGCTATCCCTTTCAAGTTCATCGATTTTCAATCCCTGCTGACCAGAAGACCCTAAACCAGGTTCCAAATTTCCAGAGCTATCACCAACAAAGGTATCACCACTTCTCAAACTGGTGTCACCTGTGGAACACAAAATGATTGTCACAGAGCATACTGAAAACATTCTGTGATTCAGAAACTTGGCATGCACAAAAATGATATATCAATACCTAGATCACTGGAAATGGATCTTCCAGACCTAGCCACTTGATCGCCTTCAACTGTTTTGCTACTAAAGCTGCTTTCACCAAATGAACTCGAACCAGGTGCTCCAAAAGCAAATGCAGCATTGCCTCTTCCAGCTCCAACTTCCCAACCATAAGACCCTGTTCCAACTGATGAAAAAATCAAAATGTTATGAAAATTTAATCTTTGTTAATTAAGTTGTGAAATGTTATTTAAAGAAAAGTGTTTCCACTACTGAATTTCATCTAAAATTTTCCAGAATGAGTCTTTATTGGTATACCTGAGCTAATGACAACAGACCCAAAGCCTTTAAATCCAGCCCCAACAGATGTACTGTCACTCAGACTACCTCCCCCCCAAGTTCATTGATTCCAAAACCTTGTTGACCTAAACTGGAATCCAAATTTCCAGAGTTATCACCAACAGAGGTATTCAAAAGTATTTTAACCAATTAATTAATTTAATCAATTTAAAATTTTTCTGGAATGAGTCTCAGTTGGAATACCTAAGTCACAGGCATCCAAAATCTATGGATTTACCCCCAGCAGATCCCCTACTGCTAATTTCACTCCAGTCAGCTCTACTGATTTCCAATTCCTTTTGACCAGATGTCCCCAAACCAAATGCTAAATTTCCAGAGGCATGGCTACTAAATTTAGCCCCTCTTCCTATGCTAGTGCTGTCTGCTGAAGTTAAAAAAAGAGACTGTCACCAGGGAATATTTAAATACAACTTATGAATCAATACTTTTTATACACAAAACCTAAATAGTAATATTTAGATCACCAGAACTTAATTTTCCAATGCTGCTTTTTTTTTTTCAAGACCACTGACACCTACTCCACATGAACCAGAATCATCAAGACTAAATCCAATTTAACCCTCTTTTTTACCATCAAGTTCAAAATCAAAAGGCAGATGGAAAACTAAATGGAAACTTAAACTGTTATCAGGAGCAATAAACAAAGGATGTAAATCATTTATGTTTTTTCTTAATAGAGTCTGAATCAGAATTCATAAGTTACTAAAGAGAGAGCCAAAGCCCATGGATTTATGAACAAACTTGTTGCCATTCATTCTATTTCCATCAATTTCCACATCCTTTAAGATAAATTGCTCTGACACAAAAAATACCTATATTTACCATACTTTAATGAACCTCAGTTATATCACTGACTTTAATTTCCAAATATAAATTGCTATTTATCTACAACTTTGATTATTGAAAATATAATATAAAACAATATTGAAGACCATTTTGAAAAAAAAAATTACTGTAACAAAATTTAACACTTTTGTTTTGCTTATCACCTCCTAATTCTTGACCATAGGTATACACATTTGACAGTTTCAAACATTCTTACATTTCTTTTCAGGACAATCAGTTCAAATATGAGTAATAGAACTTAAGAATTCCCAAAGTCATACAGAAACATGAGACCAAAATGTTTTTGTTTCTTATGACAAAACTTGGAAACAAGAGAGTTTAAATGGCTTTCCCAAAGTCCACAAAAGGTTCATAGGAAAGATTATATAGAAACTGAATTTCTTCATTCCAGGTCCAAGCCCCTTCATAAAAGCATTCATTCCACTTGCCTCTTCACTAAAATGTTTAAATTGATTTCTGTTGATGAAAGCACAGGTCCTTTGAGAATCAAACATAGTTTACAAATCTCTCCCATGAATTCCTCTGACACTAAATCTGATTTGGTCAAAAATAACCATCAATTCCTGCTTTGCTAATTGACTGGTTTTTCTGTCAAAAGAAGAAACTAAGAAACAACCTAGAATATCTGTTTCACTTGCAGCAAAATTAGAGCCAGCTCTTCATTTACTGAATTCACACAAAATCCATTTTGGCCAGATGCACCCCAACAAATTCTATTTTTATTTGAAGCAGTGCCGCCAAATTCTGTACCACCAGAGACACTGTTGGCAAGACTATATGCTAAACTGGTTTTCTTTACCATACGAAAATAATCATTACAGAGAAAAGTTGCATTCATTCATATTGTAAAATAAATTAGTCTATGCTCACTGCTTCAACTAGGCCTTCATTATAGTTTTGAATGTATCATCCCTTACCCTCCACATATCTTTCCATATATAATTCCACACAGTATAATCAGACGTGGGCATGGCAGCCAATTTGCATGAGGTTTGAGAGAATTCCATAAGAAAAGTGATGCACTGGGTTCAGAGTTCATTTAAGATAAAGTTTCAATGTGTTCTATAGAACCTGAGCAAACAATTCACACCTCAGTGTTGTAAACAAGAGCAAATTTCTGTGTTGACTTATTAGTCATATTGAGTTTGTCAATCCCAAAACAGATGACAGGACAGACAGGAAATGTTTGTGTCTTCCCTTTGGATATTTCAACCACAGCCCCACACCTAAAACTGCTACTTCCTTTTCAGTTATCACCACCTGGACACAAATATTAAATTTTTAACATAAAATATTGAAGTTATTTTCTTCACTGGATCTCTTTCTTTGTGTCTTTTGCAGAGATACAAACTATAGAAACTTCAGGGGCCAGGTAACTAAAGTAAAAGTTTGAATCAGCCAAAAGGAAGAAGTGTATCAAGTCAGAAAAGACATGCCTAACTTAAAGGAATCTGAATTTGTTTCTGATCGAACCAAAATTGAAGGCCACAAACTGCCTAGAAACCCTACTTTAAAACATTACTTGGCAAATTGAGTATGTAATTTCAAGAGGAATCTTGATATAGAAAGTGGATTGTGGTTGCAGACAGAAACATGAGTGTGTGTGTGCCCGCGTGTGTGTGTGCGCGCGTGTGTGTGTGTGCACGTGTGTGTGCGCGCTGTCGTGTCCAACTCTTATGTGACCCCATGGACTGTAACCCACCAGGCTTCTCTGTCTGTGGAATTTTCCAGGCAAGAATACTGGAGTGGGATGCCATTTCCTCCTCCAGGGGATCGTCCCGACCCAGGAATGGAACCGGCAACTCCTATGTCTTATCTTACGCGTTGCAGGCAGATTCTTCACCACTAAGCCAAAACGTGAGAAGCCCAAAACGTGATAGACTGCACCAAAACCGGGTCCAGCAAGCATTTTAAATCGTTCGTTTACAATTATAAAAGTGATTGATCATCACAATAATAGTAAAAAAGATAGTTTAAGAAAATAAAATTTATCAGGAAGAATTTAATTTAATGTAAACTTTGCCAAGATTCTCTTAAAACAGAATTCATTACTCTCATTGGCGCTGGAATTAGTGTCTTTAAGGCCATATGCCACAAATCAAAGATTATCAGATTATCCCAACTGGGAAAAAGTACTTCTGAAAAGCGAAAGTGAAAAGCAAAGTCGCTCAGTCGTGTCCGACTCTTTGCGACTCCATGGACTGTAGCCTACCAGGCTCCTTCGTCCATGGAATTTTCCAGGCAAGAGTACTGGAGTGGGTTGCCATTTTATTACCCCAACTGGGAAAAAGTACTTCTAGGTCAGTATTTTTCTGCAACAGTACCTGCTGGAGTGTCTTTTGACTCTAAACTATTAACCTCCCAAAGTTCTCTGACGTGTCTGAAGCAGCTCCTTGAATGCTAAATTCAATGTTAAGGCGTGAACCAAGAGATTTCTTTCTTCTGAATTAAGTCACCAAAGGATGAACTACTGTGCAAAAAGGGACTTACTGTGAATAACAGAAATTGTTATCTGAAAGCAGTATTGCTAGCACAATAAATTTGATTTGATTGCAATACTATGAAAAGTATTATATTTTATTTTGTGTAAAAGTATTTTACACAATGTAAAAGTATTTTATTTTGTGTAAGCACCTTTATTCTGGTGGTGCTGGGAATGACATACACCCCTTATTAATTTAATCACCATGTCCGTATCTTTTTGTCATAGTGGTAAGACTTCAAAAAATAGATGAATAGAGTTGTAAAGATTTAACTGATATGTACTAGAAATTCTTCCTCTCATGGACAGGGCGGAAACCTCCCCATCTGCTTCCTTCTCCAGTACTAAGCTCCGAGTTCCAGGGGTCAACCTTCTCCCATCAAAATACTCTACCATGTTGAATCCACTCTGTCCTTGGTTTAATAACAGCTGGTAAAATTAAAATGGCATACCTGGTTCTTCTTTCTGTATTTCTGCAAAGAATAAAGGTGAAAACATTTACTCATAAATTAACATTTGCTCAACTCCTTCAAGTGCTAGTTTAAATGTCATTTCAATGAGGCACACTCACAATGTAAAGTTGCACCCCCCATTTTAATCCTCACAATTATCATTATATTTCTCTAATTAATTCCATAGATTTTATCACCTTGTATATATCATGTTTACCACTGATAATGTTTATTGCTGTGAACTGTTTCCTTCTAGATTTTAAGCTGTATAAGCTCAAGATTTTTTGCCTGTTTTATTCACTGAGGTATTCTGGATGTCTTGAAATGTGATTGAACCATAGAGGACACTCAGTTAGTATTTATTTAATAAATACATTAATCAACAAAGGCCTTTTGTTAAGGTAATATATACTGTATAATATATACGGTATTAATGAGGTATTAATATACTGTGCTTTCTATACCATTTGTTTTTTTTTTAATCTCTATAATAAAACTGAAGTACTTTAGAATTAGTAATGCCTTTATAACTATAATATTCTTGTAAATTCATGGAAGACTTGCATTTTGGTCACTGACTAGATAATAAAATGCCTGATTTGTAAGCAGAACTTAAAGACTATGTAAGAGCAAATACAAATAATAGGAAGAAACTTAATTCTCTGTTGACAATAAGGGAAGAGAGACTCCCCTCTTTTTTAGATCATTTATTTTAGAAAACTTATACTCCCTACCTTTCTCTACCGCTTTAATATGTTTGTGCATCTTCTTAAAGGTTATGTAAGCAACTCAGTAATGTTTCCTTAAGGGATTGGTGACTATCTTTTTGAAATGCTATCATCAAGGGAGAAAGTTCCCCTGTGTCCTGGATGATATGAACATAACTTCAGCTGGTGTCTGACTCCAAGGGCAAACTTCCCTCCTTTATGATTTTAAAGAAACAAGAAAGTATTTTTTCTTGTAAAGGCAACTAGCAAACACAGGTGGCTACCCTAACTACCAAGCAAACTTAGGACAAACCATTCGTGATAATTGCTGATGTCAATTGCTCTTATTTGAGGACAAGTTATTGTTCATCTTAAGGACATATATGTAGTGGGTTTTATCTTCCTGGATGTATAAAAGAGAAATATTTCTTTCTGTCCTTGAAATCTCTCCAGCTGATTGTCTGTGATGTGTATCACACTCTGGTTTAATCCTTATTCAATAATAAAACTGCTTTCTTTCTCTTCTGCTTTTGTGAAGAGGTTTTCTGGGGTGGCAAAAGATTTTGTTTTTGATTACATTTCCCCAACTCTGATTTTTGTACTTAACCATTTTGCATGTTTCTAGCAAATATATTTTTCTATAGCAAACAATATCCAGAAATAAAATATTAAATTTTTGAGAATAGCAATGATTTAGTCTACCATTAGTTGGAGGAAGAGATCCTTAACGTTTAAGACATAATGAAATTATAATATTCACTTAATAGTGTTTGGTTTAAGATGAATTCAAGAGTGCTTAAATTACAGCCAATTTATATTATTACGTTATTAACTAACACTCAAAATACTATTACTTTTACAACTCTTCTCCATGTACAGCATTTTTTTCCTCAACTTTCCATAAACCTGCCCCACTTCACTACACACTCTTCTCCCTTCTTTTATCTTCTCTCTCTCTCTCATTGTCTTTCTTCACTTCCATGCACTTTTATAACTGTATCTTGAAATCTAAATATCTTAGTTTGATGGCAAAGCAGAAAGAAATAAAGCCATATTCTGTACGGTGGGAAATTTGTGAACTTTTGAGTCAGACCCATCTGGACTCCCAGACTTGCAATCAGAATGCCCTTTGTCAATACCTCTCTTAGAGAGGGGATTCCTACTGTAAGCCACACAAGTTTTACTCTGGCCTTCCTTGAGTCATGGTCCTCCTTAGAGGTCAAAGAATACAGACACAGGGTCAAGGGTACATGCTAACCCAGAGCCAGTTCCATCTTCCCTCCCCCATTGTAGATCACGCTATGCTCAAATAATCTTGAGAGAGATGCCCATGAAGATTCTGGTAGAGAGATTGGGACAACAGGGCCCTGGGCACACATACAATATAAATGAGGATGAAAAATATCTGCTTCATCATGTGTGTGTGCATGCTCAGTTGCTCAGCTGCATCTGACCCTGCGACCCCATAGACTGTAGTGCACCAAGCTCCTCTGTCCATGGGATTTTCCCAGGCAAGAATACTGGAGTGGGTTGCCATTTCCTCTCATTATATTTCACATATTTAACTCATGGTAAGTGTTCACTATATTCATCGTATCTCTCCTGAGTTTAACCCCACAGATATACTAGATCCTTTATTTTGTTAAACAAATATTTCTTCTGAATTTATTCATTCTGTTATTGAAATGAACAGCCTTGTATCTTAGCCTGTGTGCCATATTTGTTTCTACTATTTTATCCTTCTAGTATTTTATTATGTAAAACTTGCTCAGAAATATAATGCCACTGGGGTCACTAGTAGTAATGGCCAGCATGTTTGTTGTATGTATCACATCTTATATGTGGTATGTATACCTTAATCTACATTCACATTTTTCTCAGAGGTTTAAGAGATTTTTATAAATCTAGTAACCAGAGCGGTTTTCTATTTCAAAGGTTACTGCCTTCATCAGTACTGACTAGGTATTAGAATGGTTGGCCCAGATCATACTAGAACACACTATGGTATGTTTGTTTGCATTAATAAGAAATATTTCAAGTGTTTTAATGATTTTTCCATGGAAGACATGTCCTGTCTCCAAAGAAAAGCAGTTCTGCTCTATTGTTATTTAGCACAAATAGCATAAGAAAAGAAAACAAAGTAATTTACCTGATTTTCTTTCAGCTATTATGTCATCTGAAGAAAAAGAAGAGAATTGCTGTCATTAGTAGCTTTTTTTGATAGATTTGCCAATAGAAAGTGAATCTTGATTGCAGCCAATGCCTGTCCTGTGAGATAGTCCCATATACATCTGCTAACTGAGTCAATACTCAGGCATGAATATAGTAATTATTCACTGATCGTAGTATCTTAATACCCCTCTAGACAGCCCTCCAACCAGTTAATAGAGTCAGTCTAGATGCATGAATTAGGACACAGCAAAACATAATTCTTAGATAACTGAAAAGGTGTTTCAAAGCATTAATTATTATTCTATTGGCAAAATGTAGATGTTTTAGTTTAAAGTTTTTCATGTAACAGAAATAATGTATAAACTAAAATTAATTAATGTGAATCAAGTGAGTACAATTTCTATTTTACAGCTGTATACTAAAATTCAAATATATACAACTTACAGATAGTTACAGCATTGCTATTATTATGAATCAAGATGAACGTTCTTTGTATTTAAATAAATAAGAAGCTTGTCAAGCCACAGTAAGTGTGTGTGCTCTGCTTAGTTGCTGAGTTGTGCCTGAATCTTTGCAACCCCATGGACTGTAGCCTGCCAGGCTCCTGTCCATGGGGATTCTCCAGGCAAGAAAAGTGGGAGCAGTTGCCACAACCTCCCTCCTCCAGGAGATCTCCCCAACCCAGGGATTAAACCTGCATCTCCTGCATCATCAGGCGGGGCTTCCTCGTGGTTCAGCTGATGAAGAATCCTCCTGCAAACTGGGAGACCTGGGTTTGATCCCTGTGTTGGGAGGATCCCCTGGAGAAAGGAACAGCTACACACTCCAGTACTATGGCCTGGAGAATTCCATGGATTGTATAGTCCTTGGGGTCGCGAAGAGTCAGACATGACAAAGCTACTTTCACACTCTTTACTACTGAGCCAAGGGCATGAACTAAAACAAACAGCAAATAAAGCCAGTTAAAAGGTAAAGGGCTTCATATGTGCTTTGATAAATTGTTGCCAAAACTAAACTGTACATAGTTACAGACACACACATACACACACACACACACACACATTTAGCCCAAAGATAAGAAAAAATGGTTTACAGATAGGTTTGGGGACTATTTGTCTCTAAAGAAAAATTATACAATAACATTCCCCATATAGGTTAAATATCTGGAAAATTCTATCTGAAATGTAGGTTGCAATTAAGAGTCATCCCCAAATCCTTTTGCAACAAATAAAGATGTCAAAAAACCATGCATGAACTGTTCCCTTCATGAAAAAAATGTTCTGGGGTCTCACACAGACTACATACTCTTTCAACATATACAAGGATAATGAGCTGGGATCAAAGGTGCTCTCATCACAGGAAACTGAAGGCAGTAAGTAGGAACTAGAACTGGGTGCTAAAAGCAGCTGTAATGCTCCTATAAAAACATAAAACTAGATATTCAACATAAGAGAAAGAAAGGCAAATTAAGTACAAACATAGAAACTCAGAAACTATCTCCAGAGTAGAGTCCAACTGTCATGCACATATCAGTAAATCCCAAGGGCAAAATTCCATGGTATTTAATATAATTCACATTCATTTTTATGTCCTCAAAATAAAGTTAATCTGTGTTCAGAAGTTCCATTTCTTCGTCAGTATGAAGATAGGCTATCTGTGGTTCATGTCAATAAGTTTACCTTGCAGAGAATTTAGTTACCCTCACATAGAAAACTTTTATATGTAGATCAAATACTTGTCAATGATCCTTAATTATTTTATTCATTCAAAACAAGTATATTGAGTGTCATTGCACCCATAGATCAAAATCCCACCCTTGAGGAGCTTACAATTGTGAGATAAACAGTGAGGAGTCCTGGTAATTCACTAACAAAATCAAGTATGTATGAAAACTAAATATATCAATTTTCTGTATTCCATGTTGGTGAGAATGTAAATTGGTACAGCTATTATGAAGGACAGTATTGAGGTTCCTCAAAAAATTAAAAATAGCACTACTATATGACCTATAAATTCCACTTGAGTATGGACCCAAAGGAAATAAAATCACCATTTCAAAGAGGTATCTTCAGTCCCATATTCAGTGCATAACTATTCACAACAGCCAAGACATGGAAACAATATAAGTGCCCATCAATAGAGTGATATATATTACATGCAATAGAATACTGTTCAGTTTCTGGGGTCTCACACAGACTACATACTCTTTCAACATATACAAGGATAATGAGCTGGGATCAAAGGTGCTCTCATCACAGGAAACTGAAGGCAGTAAGTAGGAACTAGAACTGGGTGCTAAAAGCAGCTGTAATGCTCCTATAAAAACATAAAACTAGATATTCAACATAAGAGAAAGAAAGGCAAATTAAGTACAAACATAGAAACTCAGAAACTATCTCCAGAGTAGAGTCCAACTGTCATGCACATATCAGTAAATCCCAAGGGCAAAATTCCATGGTATTTAATATAATTCACATTCATTTTTATGTCCTCAAAATAAAGTTAATCTGTGTTCAGAAGTTCCATTTCTTCGTCGGTATGAAGATAGGCTATCTGTGGTTCATGTCAATAAGTTTACCTTGCAGAGAATTTAGTTACCCTCACATAGAAAACTTTTATATGTAGATCAAATACTTGTCAATGATCCTTAATTATTTTATTCATTCAAAACAAGTATATTGAGTGTCATTGCACCCATAGATCAAAATCCCACCCTTGAGGAGCTTACAATTGTGAGATAAACAGTGAGGAGTCCTGGTAATTCACTAACAAAATCAAGTATGTATGAAAACTAAATATATCAATTTTCTGTATTCCATGTTGGTGAGAATGTAAATTGGTACAGCTATTATGAAGGACAGTATTGAGGTTCCTCAAAAAATTAAA